TGAATCCAGAAAGACTTTTTAGAAACACTGGGCTTTAAGCTAAATATAAAGATGAGGAGAGGCTGGAATGGGCAGGTATGAGGTAAGAACAGGAGTGGAGACTGCAGGGAAGATCCGAGTTTGTGTGTGTGTTTTTTTACCCATTGCTTTATTTTTTAAGAGTGTAGGAAATTAGAGTCTAAAACCTTTCTCTTTCATGCGTCACTGGTCTCAGATGCCTTCACTCTCTGTATGTTCTACTGCTTCTGTCCATGACCAGATTGATCTCCGACCCATGTCTAGTTTGGAGTATTCAGGCCCTGACCCCAGCGTTGTGACTCCTCTCTCTACCACACCCCACCTCTGTGCTCCCTCAGAATATGTAGAGCTGCTGTGAATGGCTGTTAACTCCTTAGACTACTAACTGATTCTTCTTTCTCTGTCCTGCTGCTGCTACTACCTCTTGACTTTCCTGTCCTCACTCAGTGCATGATGGGAAAGGTATTAGGTTTACTGCTAATGAGGACATTCGGCCGGAAAAGGGTACGTTATACACCATGCAGTATGAAGCTAACGTGGGCTAACACTGTCCCCTGTGAACTGGAATGAGCTGCTTATGTTGAGAGTGGGGAAGCTAGGTGTCAAAGTTCAGAAGCTCTGTCCCAAGTCTCAGAGACAGGCATTGTATTCAGACAGTCTGAAACTGGGTTAACAATAGTTCTGTCCTCAGAATCTTCCTTCCTTCCACCTTAGGACAAATAAGTTTTATCTGTGATGCAGGCTACTGGTGTTTTTGTGAAATAGTGTAAGGCCTCTGCTGAGGGAAATCTGTAAATTGGCCAGACATTGGGACTGGCAAGCTGTTTGTGGAGAGGTCCAAATTTGAGCAGGACAGAGTCTTTCTGAGTAGGGCAGACTCCTGAGCAGGGGCCTCCAGGAATCCAGGCATATGTGGGAGGTTGTGGCTTTTGGCTAAATGGGACCAACATTGGTCCATTAAGACCTTGGGGAGGGCAAAGTTCATTGACAAAGACACAGGGTGGCAGCATTGCCTTTCCCCAAAATCTTCTATGAAAAATTCTGAGCCTAGCAGATGGGAGAGGTTTGAGGAACCTGAGCGATTCCTGGTGCACTTTTGAAAGTTTTGACTGACTTGTGTTTTAATACACAGCCTCATCCTTTATCCCCTTTCATTTGCTTTTGCCACCTTTACTCCCCTGTGGCTGTTGTGGGTGACTGCTTCTTGCTTTAGGGTACAGGGTGGTGGCCTCCCAACTCCTCAGTTTTATCTGGAATAATTAGGCCTAAAGTCTTCTCCAGGGGGGATCACCTGTCCATCTGTCCCCCAGGGTCTGGTGTGGATGATCCTGTTGGAGAAGTCTCTATTCAGGTGGACCTGTTTACACATCCTGGAACTGGGGAGCACAAGGTCACAGTGAAAGGTGAGTGGCATGGACTTAGGTCTCAGACCTTTTCTTGCCCAGTGGCCTCATCAGCCGCATCAACAGGGGCTGTTTCACCCAGCCCTGCAGCTTAACCCTCTTCCCCAGGGGATGCCACCTGGGGCTCAAGGACTGGGAACAGGTGGGATCCCTCACAAGTTTCCCTTGTTTGGGCAGTGGTGGCTGCCAATGACCTCAAGTGGCAGACAGCAGGGATGTTCCGACCCTTTGTGGAAGTGACCATGATTGGCCCACACCAAAGTGATAAGAAGAGGAAGTTTACAACCAAATCAAAAAGCAACAACTGGGCCCCCAAGTACAATGAGACATTTCACTTGTAAGTTATGGGGTGGGGAACCTGTGGGACTCTGGGATGGGGATGAACTGGTGGGTAAGACTTGAGAGCAGAGGGATGGCAGCTGGGGTGAATTCAGTTGAAGATTCCCTCATTTCTGGCCTTCTGCCTTCCACCTACCCTGTGCCCACAGCCTCCTGGGAAATGAAGAGGGGCCAGAAGCCTATGAATTGCAAATATGTGTGAAGGATTACTGCTTTGCCCGGGAGGATCGCGTTCTAGGACTGGCTGTGATGCCCCTGAGGGATGTGGCAGCCAAGGGCAGCTGTGCCTGCTGGTGTCCCTTGGGCCGGAAGATCCACATGGATGAGACAGGCATGACCATTCTCCGGATTCTGTCTCAGAGGAGCAATGATGAAGTGGCTCGAGAGTTCGTGAAGCTCAAGTCAGAGTCTCGTTCCATGGAGGAGGGGAGCTGAGCACGTAAACTCCTGGGCCAACCGGACGGCTCCGGTTCCACAAATCAGGGCCGGTGGGAGTTACTGTGTAGCCAGCTTAGGTCCTCATAGTTAAGAGGCTGAATCCTTCAGTTAAAGAAATTTAAGGAAAATTTGGGGGTGGTGAGAGTTTGGCTTTTCACAGAAAGGGTCACGAATCCCTAACCAGCAGGCCTGTGGTGCTAGGAGCTAGGCCGTGGGGTTACTGCATAGGGAGATTTTCCGTTAAGAGAGAGACAGGCATTTCTGAGTGTCATCTATTCCTGGTAGACACCCCTCCACCCCACACCCCACGTCTACCCCTCGCCATACCACACCTTATCCAGTTGGACCCTTGCGTACCAATCACTAGAAGGAAAAGTATAGAGGGCCAGGAGCTTGTACCTGGCTACCTAAGTAGTCAGTTGAGCCTGTAGGTGTCACTGAGCCCTGTAGTCTGGACTGAAGTACAGCCAGGGCAAGAGCACACAGAATAGAACTCAGACTGTTCCTTGAGCAGAATCCACTGGTTTTGTGTGGCCCCAGTGAGAATAAGGCTTTGAAACTGAACAAGATACCTTCTAGAAATGAGCTATACTGATCCCTTACCCAGCTGATATCTGTCATGAGCAGGAGCAGGTTCATATATATGGTGCTTCAGAGCCTTGAGCAGAATATTCTTTAGAACTCCAGCACCAGAGGCCACCTTCCCAGGAGCGCCCCCCACACCTCACTCCTGTAGGAGGGGAGTGACACTCCAGGACATGAGAAGCTCTTCTTATGTGGATGCATCTGAAGGCTCATGGAAGGGTCCAGGAGAGAGGGCTATATTTTCTTCTTGGGTAGGCCCTGAACAAAGCCAAAAAATTTTATAAATTAGTCTAGAAGGAGTCCTCCTCATCTATGAACACCACCTTCTAGCTGTCCTCCCCCTTGTAGAAAGAATCTAGCCTTTGACCTCACTCTTTCATAAGGTCAGCTGCTGTTCCCCTCACAGACGCTCAAACCTCCAGAAGAAGCTTGAACTATGATCCTTCTATACAGGCTGGATGGAGGGGGGGGCCTCAACTCTCCTGGGAGGTCAGAGACAAGCTCTTTCAAGGGGTCATATGGACTTCCAGGCCTTCGCTCAGACATGTGATATAGCCCTTTAATGTCCTTGGCAGCAGCCTCCTGGACTTCCTTCCTGGACTTCCTTCCTGGACATGTTGAGAACTCTGTGTTGTCCACAGCTGTTCTGGCCGTTACGTGAAACAAGAAACTAAGTTTTTGTTGTTGTTGTTGTTGTTGTCGTTGTTACTTATTGTATGTGCCATTGTTACAGGAGATTATTGGCTAGTCTGTAATAAATTATCTTATAGCAGCCTTTGGGGTCTTGTAATTCTGTTAAAGTATGGAAAGCTGTAGAAATGACTGTTTTATATAATGGTAGATTTTAGACCAGTGGTCTTTGCTGCTTTCTCTACTCATTCCTAATCCTACTCCCTACCCCTGTAAGTGGTGGAGCCTAAAGCAGTTCTGGATAAGCACCAAGCAGTAAAGCAGCCCATGTGTGAGCATCTTGGCTTTGACCTGAGACCTAACAGTCCAGTTAACAGAGTCATGGGACCAGCTTCCTGTAAAAGGTTCAGAAAAGTAGCAGATGACGTATGTGGGTGAAAACTAGTCCATGTTATGCCTTTCCTTTTCTAGAATCATGAGGCTTTTTCCCCCCTAGGACAGACACAGCCTGGGCTGTAAGAACAAGGCAGGGTCCTTCTGGGAAAAGATGTGTCTCCAGAGGCTGGTGGAGGGCCACGGCTACTGTGTACAGGACAGAGGTGTAGGCCTAGGAATACACAGTAGCCTTTCATGCAGGGAAATTCAAGGAAGAAGAACTGGAGTAGAAAGTCTACTCCCAAAGGGGAGGAAACAAGGTGAAAGTGAGGCCTCCTGACATGGAAATCAGAGAAGCTGAAGCAAGAAAGTGCGCACCTACTCTCAACCAGCAGGCACACTTACGGGGTGGGGACTGAGTACAGCACAGACGAGGGAGCTAACTGGAGCTTCCCAGTTTCTCATCTCCACTTGCTTGCTAAATAAATCCTTACAATGCAGTTGCCCACTCATTTTTAAACTTCTTTCTTTCCCAAATCAGTTGCCTACCATTTCTGCCTCACTGACCTTTTAAATCTCAGTTCCCAATACCACAAGTGAAGGTAGTGACTTGTAGACCTTGTCTGGATTACTGGTAATCATCTGCTTCCATTCTGCCCCTGCTCTCCTCACACACTTTGGCCTCTTTCCTGTGAAAGCTATAGTCTTCAGGCTGAAACTCCAAGACACTCCAAGAGAAGTGCAGGCACCCCTCACCATCCTGCAGCTATTCAGCACTTTTCCCCATCCCCAACTACCACTCCCCATTCTCACCGCCCCCCACTCCCACACACACACATTGTGCACGCCTACCCCCTTCCTGGAATATCCTCAGCCTTTTCCACTGCCTTCTAGGTTCTGACATTTTGGCTGCCTTTAGGACCAAACCAACCCTGGACATCCTCCCCACAGCACTCCACGTTGTTATAATTTACTTGTTTGCCTGCCCCGTCAGCCTAAAACTCCTCCAACAGTAGATTCTGAGTGTTTAACCTCCCTTCCCCATCCGACCATACCTAAGTACTTCAAAGCCTGCTACTGGTGGACTCTTTTGGAAAGCCAGCGAGAAAGGGGCCGTGGTTGCAGGCGAGCTGGGGGTGGGTGGGCGTGGCCGAGTTGGGGGCGAGGCTCATCTCTGGATTGGACCCTGGGGCTCCACAGTGCGCCTGCGCAGAAAGGTGCGTTAAGATGGACGTCGCTGGAGTCGGCGGCTGTGCTGCGATGGTGAGCAGGAGGTGCCCGAAGGCGGCGCCGGAGGAGAGGTTATTGCCTTCTCGCTCCTGGCATTGAAGAAAGAATATCCCCATACTACCTGACATTCATCCCCCTCTGTATACTTTCCAGGAGATGTCCACCCTCACACTGTCTTCTAAACTGTTTCCCCGGATCCCCCCCCAGGTTACTTCCTCCTCCCTATACTCAAATATACAGGTTTTCCAGACACCCCAGAGAAGATATATCTACCCAGATACCTAGCAAAGGGGCTCTTTATCCCACAAATGCCTCTCAAAGAGCACCCATTTATCCAGTTACCTCATAGAGCAGACACCCAGCTAAAGCACATTCCTGTTAACTCAGGGAGTTTTGTCCACTTTGCCAGCAGTATCCAGATTCTCTGAAAACGGCTTAAATCTCACAGCATTATTTGACTTGAAAGTGGCACATTAGCCGTCATTCCTCTGAAATGGTGCGGGAGACCTACTCCTTAAAACTCTGGCCGACTACTCATGGTTAACAGGCTTGCAGAACTGACGTAGTAGCTACCTTTTTAAAATAAAATTTCACATTTTAAAAATGCAGATTTCTAGTTTTTTGAAAAATTAGATAATCTGTTAACTCTTTTTTTTAATTTTTATTTTATTTGAACATTTATTTCCATTGGTATATACAAGGTGAGGAATAGTAGGTTTACAGTTCAGAGTATGTGAAATAGTTTATTGTATTATTATTTTTTAATTATTGTATTTTTTCTTTTTTTAATATATTTTATTGATTATGCTATTACAGTTGTCCCATTTTCCCCCTTCACTCCCCTCCACCCTGTACACCCTCTCCCACCCACATTCCCCCCTTTAGTTCATGTCCAAGTGTCATAAATTCTTTAGCTTCTACATTTCCCATACTATCCTTACCCTCCCCCTATCTATTTTCAACCTACAATCTATGCTACTTATTCTCTGTACCTTTTCCCCCTCTCTCCTCCCCCACTCCCCTGTTGCTAACCCTCCATGTGATCTCCTTTTCTGTGGTTCTGTTCCTGTTCTAGTTGTTGGCTTAGTTTCTTTTGGTTTTGCTTTAGGTGTGATTGTTAATAATTGTGAGTTTGCTGTCCTTTTACTATACATGTTTTTTCTGTATAGGTCCCTTTAACATTTCCTAAAATAAGGGCTTGGTGATGATGAACTCCTTTAACTTGACCTTATCTGAGAAGCACTTTATCTGCCCTTCCATTCTAAATGAAAGCTTTGCTGGATAGAGTAATCTGGGATATAGGTCCTTGTCTTTCATGACTTGGAATATTTCTTTCCAGCCCCTTCTTGCCTGTAAGGTCCCTTTTGAGAAATCAGCTGACAGTCTGATGGGAACTCCTTTGTAGGTTACTGTCCCCTTATCTCCTGCTGCTTCTAGGATTCTCTCCTTCATTTTTACCTTGGCTAATGTAATTATGATGTGCCTTGGTGTGTTTTTTCTTGGGTCCAACTTCTTTGGGGCTCTCTGAGCTTCCTGGATTTCCTGGAAGTCTATTTCCTTTGCCAGAATGGGGAAGTTCTCCTTTATTATTTGTTCAAATACGTGCTCAGTCTGTTGCTTTTCCTCTTCCCCTTCTGGTACCCCTATAATTCGGATGTTGAAACGTTTAAATATGTCCTGGAGGTTCCTAAGCTTCTTGTTTTTTTTGAATTCTTATTTCTTCATTCTTTCCTGTTTGTTTTTTTTTTCTTCCTTCTGGTCCACTCTATTGTTTTGAGTCCCAGTTTCCTTCCCATCACTGTTGGTTCTCCGTGTATCTTCCTTCATCTCTTTTATGGTAACCTGCATTTTTTCATGTAATTTGTGCCCAAAATCAACCAATTCTGTGAGCTTCCTGATCACCAGTGTTTTGAACTGTGCATCTGATAGGTTAGCTATTTCTTGGTCACTCAAAAGGATGAATTCTGGGGCACTGATTCGTTCTTCTATTTGAGCCATCGCTCTCTCTTTTTTTCCCCAGTCTGGTCGCTCTTGTTACGGTGAGGGGCGGAGCCTTAGGTGTTCACTGGGGCTGGGCACCCCAGTCGCTAGATTGTGACGTATGTGGGGGCGGGAGCGGGAGGCGGGAGCGGGAGCAGGACGGGAGGGAACAACAGTGGCAGCCCCACTCTCCTGGGATCTCAGTCCCTTCCCTGGGATCCTGGGCTGCGAGCTCTGCCCTGGTCCACAATCGCAGCCTCACTGGGTCCGCCAGTTGCCGCTTGCGTACTCAGGGTCCACCCACTGTGCACCCCAGATGGCTTACTTGCTCCTGGTTGCCTTAGGCACCCAGCTCTCCCCATACTCCGTGAGCTTCGACCTGCGCTCGTCTCTGTCCCTCCTACCGGTCTGGATGAATGGGTCTAATTCAACTTCTTGGCTGTCCGACTTCCATTTAGATAAATTCCCTGTCAGTTCTGGGTATTATTCTATCTCTAAATTGTTGTTGTTCTAATCTTGCTGTGCGTGGAGGTACGGTGCGTCCACCTATGCCTCCATCTTGCCGGAAGTCACAATCTGTTAACTCTTAGCTCACATTCTCACACAAGTGGTTGGAGCTGAGAAGCGGCTGGTAAAGTAGTTTACTGCAGTTCATTACAGACTCCGTTCCTTTTTATTTTCTTTCATGTATTCAGCTTTACCTTGTTTGCCTGGTACCAGGCAGGCATTTGAGTTTGTGATCCCTGATGTAGGACTCTGGGTAATTTCTGCACTGGTACTTTGATCTTTTCATGGAAACTGAAATACAAAGAGGTTGGATTTGTGTTAAGGTTGTCTATTGGTTTCTACAATACACTTATTAGAATCAGAGATCATCCTAATAGCTAAAATCCAGGGTGAAATCTGTGCTCAAGTTTTTTGTTGTTGTTGTTTTTAATAGGAGAATTCAATAAAAATATCCATAGGTTGTTCCCTGGTGCATTTGATATTGAAGAAAGTCATTGTTTTAACTCTTTCTGGTGCAGTGAGGCCAAAGAAAAAGTATTGTTTCCTTTGAACAGCTGGTGATAAATGGGCCTGGCTCTGATCTATACTGAGAGCGGTATCTCAAAAGTTCATCTCTTTCATGCCAGAATACACAGATGGTAACCCTCCTCTCACGGAAATAACAGGTCTCATAGTATCAAGAGTGGGGGTATTCTGCAGGCTGTACCGATTCAGAAGTAGAACAGAAGGGCCTTTCACAGTGGATTTTTAAAGAAGGAAAAGTCACTTTTTTTAGCTGAAGTGTATGATCCACGTATTCATTGTGAATATTTGGACTAGCTTCCTGAGTGAACCTGCCATACCTAGAAGCAGAGTGGCAAAGCTGAAGAAGCAACATGGAATAGTGGAGATGGCATAATACTATGAATACTGGTCTCAGCTCACTACATACTAGTCAGGAAGCCTTGACCTTGAATCTCTCAGAGACTGTTACCTGCATCTGTTAAATAGACTAATAATTCCTGTCATGTTTACCACAGAGGGATCAAATGGGATTAGATATAAAAGCATTTGAAAATTATACATCTTCTCTAAGTGCACAGGAGATTATTATCACAATTATGATTATTAATGACATTGTGAGTCCTGATTAATTTCTAAGGAATTTGTCTTGTGTCTGACTTCAAAATCAACAAATATTTGCCGAGCACGACCTATGTGCCATGTACTGATCAAGGCATGGAGCCTAGCACTGAACAAAACAAACCCCCTGTGTAAATTTAGGAGTGAGTTATCAGCATATTAAGTGCCTACTAAGTGACCAGTGCAGTGTAATACATGGTGAAGTAGTAAGAAGAATCTAGAATATGGCCCTAAGTCTACCACTATATATTTGTGAGACACACTTTCCCTGTGTGAGCCTGAACCTCCCCATCTGTAAAATGAGGAGGTTATACAAGGTAAACTCAAAGGTTCATTGCAGCTGAAATATGTTTGTTTATATAGAGATTCTGATTGCTAAAGTTCCCTCCCCCTAAGGAGTTGTTGCACTGCCAAGATGGTCAGGCTAAAAACACTGAACAGTCATAGAACTTCAAGGACGACCGGGTGCTAATGTCGCACTAGCTTCAGTGGTTACAACATTGTTTCTGGTAATACAGTACTTAGAGAGACTTCTTGTAAGACCAGGTAGACCTGGAAGGATGGGACACTTTGGATTAGAGGAAAGGAAGGAGACTCTCTTTTAGATTTTGGGAACTGAATGAATTGAAGTGCAAAGGAAAAGAACATGCCATTGTTGTCCTAGTGTAGCAGTCAGAATCTTTGCAGAAAAATGATGCATCCAAAGTGTTTAACTGAAGAAAGTTTAACCAAAGGACTATTTATAGAGGTATAGTCAGTGTTAAAAGAACTAGAATGAAATGGTGAGACACAAAGTGGCAAATCAGTAGGTGGTCTGGGTGATGTAGTTCATAGAGGCCATCTTCCCAGAACAGCACACAGGGAATTGGGCAGGAGACACAGCAAACAGATTAATCAACAAACATGATATCAGGGGAAGGAAAAGTCACCACTATGGACTTTTTCTTTCTGTTCAAATTCAAAATATACTCTAAGACTTAGTCTCTTTTGCTGTTAAGTAGGGATAGTAATGAATTTGTCCCAGGGTGATTGGGGGCAGGGGGGTGGATTCTGATACGAGGTTCTGAAGGCACCTAACACAGAGCCTGATACATACTAGAGGCTCAATATATTTTGGTTTCTTTCTTCCTTTCTCTACATGACTAGATGACTCCTTGGCTGGCATACCTTTTCCAATTAAAGTCTCAAAGTGTAGCTGGGACTCAGTGAATGAAGGTTAGAATAGTAGGAGATGAAGTCAGAACATGTAGGTCCCTGTAGCCTATTGTAATGACTTTAGCTTTTAACAGGAGTAAGGTAGCAAATTATTGCATTTAAAAATATTTATTTAGAACATACCACATACTAGACACTGCTTTAGTCATCAGAGATCCATTGATATACAGTTCCTATCCTTGAAGACAATATTGTCTTATGAAGGAGGC